CGTGGGATCTTGCACTGGAAGGCTACCTGCATGGGGATATGGTGTTGGGGTCACCCCACAGCGCCCAGCCCCCAGCCGGTGCCACTGGCACTGTTATCTCACGATGAGATATCTTAGAATAGCATAGATTATCATATGATGTCCCCATAGATATCATAGAATCAACCAGGTTGGAAAAGACCTTTAAAGATCAAGTCCAACCTTCACCCCAGGACTACCAAGGCCACCACTAACCCACGTCACTGAGGGCCTCATCTACTTGGTTTTTGAACACTTCCAGGCATGGTGGGTGATTCCACCACTGCCCTGGTTATCCTGTTCCAGTGCCTGATGAGGGGACAAGGGGTCCAGCCCCACGCACCCATTGGGAAACCCAGCTCTTACCCGCACGCTCCGGGGCACAGCGCCCTTGGCCAGGTTGAGGATGAGCTGTGAGAAGGGGAGGAAGGTTGGGTCAGCCAAGTGGTCCTCATTGCCAGGGTCTGCTGCCCCCAGTGGGATGGGTCCCACCGTAGGATGGGATGTTATGGTATGGGATGGGTCCCACCATGGTGTGGTGTGGTATGGAATGGAATGGGATGGGATCCCACCCGCGCTCCCCCATCTCCACCAGCATGCAGTTGCAGTGCCAGGGCTCAGTCCTGGGCTGCAGTGGGATGTTTCCAGCCATGCAAAAGCAATGAGGACCCAGTGGAGGTGCCAACTCCCCCCCCCACCTCGTTCTTGGCGTGCTCCCAGCCCTCCAGCGAGGTGCCGCAGTGGCTCAGGGGGGTTCTCAGCATGAAGTGGGTGGCGTTCTTCTCTGCCTGGCAGCTGATGTCCCGCAGGGTGATGTTCACCACGTCCTTGATGGGCTGCAGAGAAGCACCCAGCGGTCACCCCCATCCCAGGACAGTGCACCCGGAGCAGGCCCAGCACCAGCACCCAGCGCCTGAGCCAACAGCACCCGAGCTCAGCCCCAGCGCTGGGGATGGAGACCCCCAAAGACTCTCACCCCAGTGAGCTTCCTAATGAGAGCAGAGCCTGTGTCAGCACCGCATGACCACGGGGGGGGGTGACACGGGGAGCGTGTGAGCACGAACTGATATTCACATTCACTCTCACACTCACATTCACTCACACGTGTGAGAGGGAGCTTGAGTGTGAGAGCAAATGTGAGTGTGCAAGACAATGGTGTCAGCCCTAGGGACGAAGGTGCCAGCCCTTGTCAATGGTGCCAGCACCCAGAGCAGTCTGTGACCCCCCCGGGCAATACTGGAGGTGTCTGGGACCCCCCCCATCACCCCTCACCTCCAGGTGGGACCTGGCGATGACGATCTCCATGGTTTCATCCGTGCACTTCCATGGCTGGAGCATCAGCAGCAGCAGATGGGGCAGTGAGTATATGGTGGGGAACGGGGCTGTGGGTGTCACGGGCACCCTCCTGACTGCCTCTGCACCATGGGGAGACGTGGGGCTAAGTGGGGGCAGTGGGACACCCCCATCCTGCCCCGCTATGGGGTGCCCCCATGGGGCCTCACCGTGCTCCTGGATCTCCAGGCTGACGCGGGTGCTGGCAGGGATGGTGGAGTAGGAGGCGATGATGCTGTAGTTCTTCTCGAAGGCTTTGGCAATGAGGCCCCGCTCCGAGTCGGGCAGGAGCTCCCCAGGGAGCATTATCGAGGAGATGGGAGCGATCTTGTAGCTCCCAGAGACCTAAGGACATCACGAAGGATGCTGAGCAGGGATGGGGGTGGTTGGCGATGCTCAAAGCAGGGACAGCTTCTGTGTTCATCCCCATTAGAATGGCTTGCAAGGGGGCTGCCACCTCCCTATACCCAATGTCCCCAGTGCCACCCTCCCTGTGCCATTGGCATCTCTTGCTGAGGACACACACACACACGTCCCTCTCGGCCCTACCAGGAACTGGATGTGGCAGTTGTTGACGGAGAGGGACCAGGTGACGTTGGCCCGGCTCTGCAGGATGAGGATCTGGTTGCTCACGGCTCTTTCAGGACAGCTCAGGGACAAGTTCACCTCCGTGATGGGGAAGCTGCGAAACCACAAGATTCCCCCCTCCAGCATCAGCATTCCACACCGGGATGAAGGGGCTTTGTCTATGAGCCACCCTCCCCCCTTCCCAAGCATCTCCAAGCATCTCCCGCCCTTCCTGCCACCCCGGGGGTCCCCCTGGGCAGTACCTGGGCTCGGGCTGCAGACGGACGATGTGGGCAGCCCTGGTGCTCTGTGTGTCCCCACGGGAGCAGCCCTTCATCCCATGGAAGAACACCTCGGTCTCGAGGTGCAGCGTGGCATCAAAGTGCTCCTGGGGGATGCAGTCTGGGGGGCTGCTGGGGTCTGCGGAGGCAAAGGGGGGAGTCACCAAACAGGGCTATAGGTTGGGGGACCAGGGCATTGCTCTCCAGAGCATCTGCTTCAGG